CGAGGTGGAGGCCAGGGGAAGGCGCTGAGCTGGGAAGTCCCTGCTTTTATTGAGTTATGCGATAGAGCTTCACTGGAAGGACGTTATCACCACTTGGCAAACAGGTTTCAGCTGAGAAGAGGAGGTGAGGAGCAGCTCCGCCACCTCCTCGGCCCCTGGTTGCAAACTGTTCTCTTCCCTTTTTTTCTTGTACTTTTTGTTTTTTTTTTTAACTTTTGCTACAGTGCTGATTCTTATGCATTTTTAATGTTTAGAGTGTTGTAATTAGAAAGCCTGTACAATTTTTAAAAGTTTGTTTACTTTCTAATAGAGGTACAATTAACGTATTGCAACATTTCATTTCTTTTTTTCTTTTTTATTTTTGAGACGGAGTCTCGCTCTGTCACCCAGGCCGGAGTGCAGTGGCGTGATCTCAGCTCACCGCATCCTCTGCCTCCAGGGTTCAAGCGATTCTCCTGCCTCAGCCCCCCCGGGTAGCTGGGACTACAGGCACCAGCCACCACACCCGGCTAAGTTTTGTATTATTAGTAGAGACAGGATTTCACCATATTGGCCAGGCTGGTCTCGAACTTCTGACCTTGTGATCTGCCTGCCTCGGCCTCCCAAAGTGTTAGGATTACAGGCATGAGCCACCGTGCCCGGCCAACATTTGCTTTTTTACGGTGTACAATTCACTGGTTTTTAATGTATTCACAAAGTTGTGAATATATTAAATCATCACCAGTATGTAATTCCTGAACATTAGGCTGGGCGCAGTGGCTCCCCTCCTTGGGTCTCTGGCAGAGTCAGAATTAGGTTGACATAAAACAGAAAAACAGGAGAAAAGCTTACGAATGTTATTTTATTTTATTTATTTTTTTGAGACAGAGTCTCGCTCTGTCGCCCAGGCTGCAGTGCAGTGGCGCAATCTCGGCTCGCTGCAAGCTCCGCCTCCCGGGTTCCCGCCATTCTCCTGCCTCACCCTCTCGGGTAGCTGGGACTACAGGCGCCCGCCACCTCGCCCGGCTAGTTTTTTGTATTTTTAGTGGAGACGGGGTTTCACCGTGTTAGCCAGGATGGTCCCGATCTCCTGACTTCATGATCCGCCCGCCTCGGCCTCCCAGAGTGCCGGGATTACAGGCGTGAGCCCCCGCGCCCGGCCGGGAATGTTATTTTTACAGGTACATGGGAGACTTGAGAAAGGGAAGGCCTCTCGAAGCGGTTAGGCCTGAGGGCTTCTATGCCAAAGAACAGCGACTGTGAAAAAGTCACTGAAATCCTTGGGGAGGCTGAGGGAGATAAGGGTTGGTGTGTGCAGCTGTCGCTCAGCCTCAGCCCCTGGTGCTGGTGACAAGGACGTCCTCTCTGTCTACGGGGAAGTCGTGCTTCATGTGGGGTTTCATCTGCTTTCAGGGGGAACAGGGGAGGCCAGAGCACCCTTCTTGTGTCTGCTGCTGCCCCCGTGCCTTTGGGGCTGCACTGGGGCGGCCTGTTCTGTGCCGAGGCCTTCACCGCCGGCCCCCCAGCACCCAGCCATCTACCAGTTCCGACGCGTCACCCCAGCCACTGTCCAAAACACCCCTTTAGGCTTTTCCCTTAATACAGGCATAATTACCTGTTATTAAAATATTAGGAAAACGAATATAAGAAAAACGTTGAGATCACTCTCACTCTTGATGCTGGGTGTGGGAGGGGTGCCAGCCTTCATTCCCTGGCCGGCTCCGTGGAGGAGGGGTCCCCGGCATGGTTCTCATAGGTTCCTCCCCATTCGGAACCTCGCTGTGCTGGAGGCTGTCTCTGCAAGAAGCGTTTCCTGAGATTTGGGCTTTCCTGTCGGTCGCCTGTGGAGAGGTAGAGCTAGCCTGGTCGGGCTGCAAGCACGTTCACGGCAGTTTAGCCTGAACTCTTCCATCCGAGGGACCCAAAGCCCAAGGGGGTCTGTCTGAGGGGAGGTCTGCCTGTCCTTCCGCGTGGGTCTCGCCTCTTCCTGAGACGGGTCTGGGGAGGGTCTGAGTGTTGGGATTTGCTGTCTGGTCTCAAGCCTGTGCTTTGCCCGGACCCATCTGTTTGGGTGCACACCCACCTGTGCCTGGTGCTGCCCTGGGTGCTAGGGACATGGGTGCTGGGAGGACAGGCCAGCTAAGCAGAGACAGAGAGTGGCAGAGTAGCAGGCATTAGGAAGAGAAAGGCAGGTGGGTGGAGCAGGTGGGGACCCTGAGGAGGTGGCCCTCACCTGGAGTCCAGAGGAGGCAGCTGGGAGGACCAGAGGAGAGCTCTGGGCAGGGGCGGGGTGGAGGGAGCCGGGGAACGCTGGGCAGGGGCGGGGTGGAGGGAGCCGGGGAGCGCTGGGCAGGGGCGGGGTGGTAGGAGCCGGGGAGCTGTGGGCAGGGTCAGGGTGAAGGGAGCCGGGGAGCGCTGGGCAGGGGCTGAGTGGAGGGAGCTGGAGGCACTGGGCAGGGGCCGGGTGGAGGGAGCTGGAGGCACTGGGCAGGGGCTAGGTGGAGGGAGCTGGAGGCATTGGGCAGGGGCTAGGTGGAGGGAGCTGGAGGCACTGGGCAGGGGCTAGGTGGAGGGAGCTGGAGGCACTGGGCAGGGGCTAGGTGGAGGGAGCTGGAGGCACTGGGCAGGGGCCGAGTGGAGGGAGCTGGAGGCACTGGACAGGGGCCGGGTGGAGGGAGCTGGAGGCACTGGGCAGGGGCCCGGTGGAGGGAGCCGGGGAGCGCTGGGCAGGGGCCGGGTGGAGGGAGCCGGGGAGCGCTGGGCAGAGGTGGGGTGGAGGGAGCACTGGGCAGAGGTGGGGTGGAGAGAGCAGGGAGTGGCAGCTCCTGGCAGGGCTGCCTTCAGTGCCTCCCACTTCTGGAGCTGAGTCTCCTGGGAGTCCCCGTGGCTCCATGCCCTGCACAGACACTGCTGGCTGCCGCCGCCGGTGCTGCCCTTCACGTGTTGTGGGGGACCCAAGGGTCTGGCCCTGCCGGCCTCGTGTTCCGCATCCATAAGACAAGCGTCAGAACAGTGTCCACCTCTAAGGGACCCCTGTGCTTCAGATGACCCGCAGTCCTCCCGGCAGGAACCGCCCCACACCCCTGCAGCCTCTCCCGCAGCCCCCAGCATGCCCGGCCTTCGAGCGGCTGCCTGCCCCCTCCCCTCCACACTGCCCATCCAGGGCCTGCTCTTGGGGTGCCTTCTTTCTGAGGGCCCACCCCAGCCTCCCCAGCAGAGCTGCCTGTCCCTTTCTCCCCCCAGAACCCCCTCCTTGTGTGCTTCCTTCCTGCTGTCTGTGAACCTTGGGGGCCAGACCTCGGCCCTCCTGGTGACCCTTATTTCTCCTGGTGACCCCGTGTCTCCTGGTGACTCTTGTTTCTCCCAATGACCCCATTGTCTCCTGGGGACCCTGTGCCTCCCAGTGACCCTTGTCCCTCCCAGTGACCTCATGTCTCCTGGTGACTCTTGTTTCTCCCGGGGACCCCATGTCTCCCGGTGACCCTCGTCCCTCCCGGTGACCCCATGTCTCCTGGTGACTCTTGTTTCTCCCAGTGACCCCATTGTCTCCCAGTGACCCTGTGTCTCCCGGTGACCCCATGTCTCCCGGTGACCCTCGTCCCTCCCGGTGACCCCATGTCTCCTGGTGACTCTTGTTTCTCCCAGTGACCCCATTGTCTCCCAGTGACCCTGTGTCTCCCGGTGACCCCGTGTCTCCTGGTGACTCTTGTTTCTCCCAGTGACCCCATTGTCTCCCAGTGACCCTGTGTCTCCCGGTGACCCCGTGTCTCCTGGTGACCCTCGTCCCTCCCGGTGACCCCATGTCTCCTGGTGACTCTTGTTTCTCCCAGTGACCCCATTGTCTCCTGGTGACTCTTGTTTCTCCCGGTGACCCCATGTCTCCCGGTGACCCCATGTCTCCTGGTGACTCTTGTTTCTCCCAGTGACCCCATTGTCTCCCAGTGACCCTGTGTCTCCCGGTGACCCCATGTCTCCTGGTGACTCTTGTTTCTCCCAGTGACCCCATTGTCTCCCAGTGACCCTGTGTCTCCCGGTGACCCCGTGTCTCCTGGTGACCCTCGTCCCTCCCGGTGACCCCATGTCTCCTGGTGACTCTTGTTTCTCCCGGTGACCCCACTGTCTCCCGGTGACCCTGTGTCTCCCGGTGACCCCATTTCTCCCGGTGACCCTCGTCTCTCCTGGTGACTCTTGTTTCTCCCAGTGACCCCATTGTCTCCCGGTGACCCCATTGTCTCCCGGTGACCCTCGTGTCTTCAGGTGACCCCGTGTCTCCCGGTGACCCTGTGTCTTCTGGTCCTCACAGGTGCTCAGTAATGAGGACCCTGGAGAGCGCGGCCTGTGTGTTCCCGTGTGGGATTTGAATACACAGTGTCCGAGGCGAGCGTAGTGGTGGGTGGTTCTGGACATAGACGTGGGGCCTGATGGTCTGTATGTAAACTGTGTCTCTGTACCCCCCTCCAGCCTTTCCTTTCTCCCCTTCCCCGCAGACAGACCTTGGGCCTCTGTTTCCTCATCTGCATAATGGCGACAGCAGTCAGACCTACCCAGAGGGCTGTCATGGACCCCAGTCCACTCACAGTTCGTGAGCCGTTTAGAGCAGTACCTGGAACTGTGGGGTGGGGTGGCCAGGGGCCGCCAAGTGACCCGCATGGCATATCTGTGCACGTGAGTTTATTTAAACAGGCACATCCTGAGTTCTCCTCACTCTCGTGCCCTTCCTGAGGGTGGGTTGACAGCACCCTGCCGTGGGGCTGGCTCCCTTCTGTGCCTGGATAGTGGTGAACTTCTTGTCACTGGAGGGACTCGGGAAAATTGGTTCAGGTGGGTTGTGCCAAGGAGGTACTTTGTTCCCGCCTGCTGGTCTGCAGATCCCGGCCTGGAATGAGGTGCTGGATGCCGCCGTTCCCGCCTGCTGGCCTGCAGATCCCGGCCTGGAATGAGGTGCTGGATGCCGCCGTTCCCGCCTGCTGGCCTGCAGACCCCGGCCTGGAATGAGGTGTTGGATGCCGCCGTTCCCGCCTGCTGGCCTGCAGACCCCGGCCTGGAATGAGGTGCTGGAAGAAACCAGAGGAGGTTTCTTCAGAGCGGAGCGCATTCAGCCCAAGGGGGCCTGGCCTGGGTTTCTCTTCCAGTGTTGAGGTTGTTGGTAGACAGGGCAGGTGGCTACTGTGCCTCACCAGGAGTCCTCCCCACCTGGGAGTGAGGTCACACCAGGGACTGGGGCCAGATGGCTGGGGAATGGGCTTGCTAATGGTTGGACGAGCGTTGTGCCCGCCTCCACCTCAGTATGCAGCTCCGATGAGACACAGAATTGAAGGCTCGAGGAGGAGCTGGGGCCCGCAGCAGGCCTCTCCTTCCGATCGAGAGGAACGCGAACGTCCACAGGAATAAATGGAAGGACGCTGGCATTGAAGCTGGAGTATTCACAAGGCCTAACGTGGACGCAGCCCACAGTTGTCTGCCAGCGATGGGTGGGTGTGTGGACCACTGTGGCCGCCGTACAGTGGAGTGGGTTCAGCCCGAGAGAGGAGCCGCGCGCCGCCGCACCATACTGTGTGGAAGAGCCAAACGCTGGACAGATGCGGCCCCTCTCCGGGCAGAGCACGCGGCAGCGAGTCCCGAGGGACAGAAAGGAGTTGAGAGGCTGCAGGGCCCGGCCGGGGGAATGCGTGGTGACTGTCGTGGGCTCGTGGGCTTTTTGAGGTGGTTGTAAAGTTGATTGTGGTGATGGTTGCGAAACTGATTATACTAAATATCATTGCGTCGTACACTTTACATGGGAAATGTTGTGGGAGGGGGAATCGCGTCTCAGTGAAGCTGTTTTAATAAAAATGTGGGCCCTGGGGTGTGAGCGCTGGTCCGGCGGTGGGAGGCCGTGCCTTCTCTGGCAGGTTTCTTGTGGCTCCTGCTGGAGGCTTCCCCCGAGAAGCCAGGTGGCTACAGCCCGTGCCTCCTGCAGGTGCCGGGGGATTCGGGGAGCCCAGCCCCAAATCTCTACTGTGGAAGGTAGGAGGTTTTTTTGTTTTAAGGCTCGTCGAGTGAAGCCGTTGGCGTGGAGAAGGAACAAAGAGATCCGTAACTGGCGGTTGGTTGTAAACACCGCTGTACTCGGCCGGCAGGACTTTTTTTAAATTGCCCTTATTTGGCTGTGGAAGTTGGCAGCCCTGTGTCCGCCCCATGGAGTTTAGCTGAGCCGCTCCTGGTTTATGAAACCCCAGCGCGCGGAAAGCAGGGAGGGCACGTTTGCCACAGCTCCACCTGGCGGCCCTGCCCTTCCCTGATCTGTGTGAGGGTTCAGGTGCCCGCCGCGCCTGCAGGAGGGTGGGGGAGGGCTGGGAGGGCTGCCTCAGAGCCTGCTTCATTTTATTTTTTTATTTTATTTTATTTTAAATTTAATTTTTGAGACAAAGTCTTGCTCTGTCGCCCAGGCTGGAGTGTGATCTCTGGTCACTGCAACCTCTGCCTCCCGGGTTTAAGCAATTCCCCTGCCTTAGCCTCCCGAGTAGCTGGGATTACAGACCCCTGCCACCACGCCCGGCTAATTTTTGTGTTTTAGTAGAGATGGGGTTTCACCATGTTGGCCATGCTGGTCTCGAACTCCCGACCTCCAGTGATCCACCTGCTTTGGCCTCTCAGTGCTGGGATTACAGGTAGAGCCACCGCAACCAGCCAGGGAGCATGTTTTAAAAGAGAGATCAGGGTATGAACCCTTCAACAACTCGGGCGCGTGGCAAAGGCTCTGGTGTCCGCTTTAGCTGCGTGTGTGCGTGGCACAGGTCGGTGGTGTGTGTAGAGACCCTCCTGGTGTGTGGCACGGGTTGGTGGTGTGCGTAGAGACCCTGACAGTGCGTGTGGCATGGGTCGGTGGTGTGTGTAGAGACCCTCACAGTGCGTGGCACGGGTTGGTGTCGTGCGTACAGACCCTGACAGTGCGTGTGGCACGGGTTGGTGGTGTGTGTAGAGCCCCTCACAGTGCGTGGCATTGGTTGGTGGTGTGTGGAGACCCTGATGGTGGGTGTGGCACGGGTTGGGAGTGTCACGTGTGGAGACCCTCAGGCACCTGCTGCCCTGTTTCTGATGTGATGGGTCAGTGTCTGCCAGGGGTGTGGGGACTCCAGTCCGTTTGGCACGAGCATCACACGTACACTGTCTTGTGCACACTTGACAGTAACATGTTCTCCGTCTTGCCAGTGAGGAAGCTGCGGCGTGGAGGTGGGGTTGTTCACCCCGGGTCTAGCTGGGGAGTGGTGGGGCTGCGATGGGCGCCGGTGGTGGTTGTAGCCCGTGTGGGTCCTGGAGTTCTTCCTGCAGCTGTGTGTGGCCTTGGCCGGCCCCTGCAGTGGGGAGCAGCCAGGCTAGCTCCAGGCCAGTTCTTGGTGTCCCGGGGTAGGCGCCATGTGCCTTGTCTGCCGGGCGCTGTACCTGCCACGCCGGTCCCTGCAGGGCCCTCCGTGCAGCCTGGCACCCCATAAACTCGGTCCTTCTGTCTTGTCCCTTCTAACAGGGACCCGGACATGGAGCTGCGGGAAGAAGCCTGGTCTCCGGGGCCGCTGGATTCTGAAGACCAGCAGATGGCGAGTCACGAGAACCCAGGTGAGTGGCCCGAGTCCGTCCCGGCCGGCCCCACTGCCTCCCACCTGACGCTGGCTTCCGGCCCCACTGCCACCTGACCCTGGCTTCCGGCCCCACTGCCACCTGACCCTGGCTTCCGGCCCCACTGCCTCCCACGTGACCCTGGCTTCCGGCCCCACTGCCTCCCACGTGACCCTGGCTTCCGGCCCCCACTGCCTCCCACGTGACCCTGGCTTCCGGCCTCACTGCCTCCCACGTGACCCTGGCTTCCGGCCCCACTGCCTCCCACCTGACGCTGGCTTCCGGCCCCACTGCCTCCCACCTGACACTGGCTTCCTTTGCCTTTGGGTGGGAGGAAACCCCCCTTTCCTGTTTTCCCTTCCTGGGGCCCTGGGATCCCCGACCCTGGCCTCCCCTCCCCCCCTGGGCTCTGCACTCCTGGCTGTAGAGGGAGGGGCTGGGGTTGTGGCTCCAAGTTTCCTTTCTGCTGAACGATTTTGGGGACCCCGGGGGCCGCCTTCTCTGCCTGACTTCCTCTGTCCTTGCCCTTCCAGCCTGGGCAGCACCCCCGTCTGTTGAGGGTGCCCCGTTGCTCTCCCCACAGCCCCGCCTCCACATCCTGGACCCTCTGCTGTGATTCCAGGCGGCCCTGTGACACTCCCTGGCAGAAACTCCTTAGACAGGGTGGCACAGGAGCGCAGGGAGCCCACAGGCTGACGCTGACTTTTCAGGGAGAGCTGTCAGTGTGGGTTTTTAGGTGAAATCCTTCACTCTTTGGACACGGACAACGTATTTCGTTTGTTTAATAAAGCATTATTGGGGTTGAGCAAAACTCATTTGTGGGCTACGTGGGGCCTGGGTTTGGTTGCCGAGGCCCCATGGTGACCCCACAGTGGCCCCTGACACCTCACGGCCTCCCTCCCCTCCTGGAGGCTGCGTGCCTGCCTCAGACCTGAGGAATAAGGTGCGGCAGCTTCTCTCATTGCTGTGTCTGCATGCCAGGCCCCAGGTCCCAGGCCCCCCGCTGGCCCCACGCTGGCCCGGGCTCAGCAGACCTTTTCTGCAGAGGGCCAGAGAGGAAATGCTGTGCGTCTAGCAGGCTGCAGGCCTCACAGATACCACAGAGCCACAGTCCACACGGGAATGCACGGGCGCACCGGTGAGGCTCGATGTAGAAATGTGGCAGAGCTCGCCAGCCCAGGCCAGCGTAGCCGAGTTGTCCCAGAGAAGGACCGGGGTGAAGTGTGGGATCGATTTTGTAAAGCACCTCAGCCCTTTTTTCAGTGATTTCTGAGATCCGTGGATGGAGTATGAGCAGAAGCTCCCTCTGCGTGGGGCCGTGGCAGCCCTGGTTCTGGGGGAGAAACTGGGATGGGGGTTTTGAGTGTGTTGGCAGGACGGCATGCCCGGGGGGCACACACCCCGGCCCCAGGCTGCCCCGCGCCTCAGTGGGTGGGCGCCGTTCCGCACCGCCACAGCCCTCCAGGCCTGCCCCCGCCTTCTCCCTTGCATACGCCCTGGGCCTTTGAACCTTTTTGAAAATTCTGTGGAAATCTCGAGCGTGTGGACGTAGTGTGATGAGTCCCTCTTCCTGTGCCAGCGAAGGGCACTGCCAGTCCCTTTCTGCCCACTGTGATTCTTTTTCCACAGTGTCATAGAGAACGTATCCATCACGTCATTGTGTCTGTAAATTCTCCAACATGTAAGGACTCCTTAAAAAAAAAAACCCTACAGGAAGCTGATCTCACCTAACAACATGTCATTTTTTAGGACCATCGTCTAATCTAGCCCCCAGTCCTTGTTAAAATAGCCTGTGGTCTCCAGAATGCTTGTCTTTGAGTAAGTTCATCTTTAATTTTACAAGTCACTCGTAAACTCCCCCTCTTTGTAGAGAGTAGGTCTCAGGTCCCCTTGTCCAGCCCGCTGTCCCGCTCCCCACCGGCCCTGTGTCTGTGGGAGTGCTGTTCCCCGCTGGGCAGCTGGCTCCGGGGAGGGCCTGCGCTTGGTGCCGTCTCTGGAGCATCACCCCCGTGTGACGCCCTCGCTCATCGAGGATGGGCTGCGCACGCTCCCAAGCTGCTCTGGCGTCCGGGTAACTCCCGTGTGGGGTCCCGCCTACACGTGTCCCTCCTACGATGTGACAGTGACAGACGTTGTCGGGGGGAATGGCGGGGGTTGGCCTGGCCACAGTGTATGTGGGTCCTTTTTCTCTGGCCTTTTGCTGAGGGATATGGGGGCCCATGGGGCAGGCATCTGGAGAGGAGTGTGCCCTGGAGAGGCAGGGGAGCGTGCCCGGCAGGCAGAGAGAAGGGAACCAGCAGGGCTTCCAGCCCACCTGGCCCCAGCCTCTTCTGCGGAATCAGTGTCCAGGCCCTCAGCCTACCTTGTGGGGTCCTTGGATAGGGAGGAGGTAACCAGCGCAACTTTCACTGTCTTGCATGTGAGGAGTGGCCTAGGGAAGGTTGAGAAGGAGGCAGAGAGAACCAGCGGCAGGAGGCGTCCAGCGTGGCTGCCCCATGCCGACCCCAACCCTGCAGTGCTGGGGCGTGGGGCAGGGCGTCCATGTCCTGTGCTGGAGACGGGAGATGCTGGTTGGAGTGCCAAAGAGGGGGTTGCCCCCCGAGCCGGGCTGCAGGCCTTCGGGTAGACGCCGTGTGGACCCTTCCTCAGCTCCTGACTTCCGTGTGTCCTGGCACCTGCTCTGGGAATACATCCCGAGTGTGGTCGCTTCTCCCCACTGTGACCCCAGCCCTGTGGCCTTACAGTCACAGCGCTGGCCTTCCCGCGACCTCTGTCCCTACCCTTGTCCCCTCCTGAGCCTCTAGGGGAGGAGGCGAGATCCCGGTGCCATGCCCAGAACCCTGTGAAGGTGTCCTGGCTTGATGGGACTGAGAACCCGCCACCTGCCCAGCCTCGCAGCCCTGTGTGCCATCGCCCCGTCCGCCTCCCGGCTGGTCTCGGGCCCCTGACGCGGCCCCCGACACGGCCCCCAGCCCGCGTGGCCCTGCTACAGTTTTCTTCCCCAGACGGTGTTGTGTGACTCGCACTTTCTCTTTTTTTTTTTTTTTTGAGACAGAATCTCGCTCTGTCACCCAGGCTGGAGTGCAGTGGTGTGATCTCGGCTCACTGCAACCTCCACCTCCTTGGTTCAAGCGACTCGCCTGCCTCAGCCTCCTGAGTAGCTGGGATTATAGGCACCCGCCACCACGCCTGCCTAATTTTTGTATTTTTAGTAGAGACGGGTTTCACCGTGTTGCCTAGGCTGGTCTCGAACTCCTGACCTCAGGTGATCTGCCCGCCTCGGCCTCCCGGTGCTGGGATTACAGACGTGAGCCACTGTGCCTGGCATGACTCCCCTTTTGTGTCCCCTTCCACCAGCTCTCTGCTCCATGAGATGCCGTCTCAGCAGAAGTGTCCCCGTGTCCCCTCCCCTGTGTGCTTGTCCTTCAGCTTCCTGGAGATCACTCCCCGGGGTGTGCAGGCCGCTCAGGGTGCAGACTGTTTAACCGGAGGGTCCTGTCTCGGGGGCCAGGTGAAGCTTCGTTCACGGAGGAAGGGGCTTTGGGCTGCATTGCAGGGGATGTGGTAGTGTGGCTCGAGAGCCCTGGGAAGCCACGGGGCAGTGGGGACGCTCTCAGCTGCTGTTAACAGGGAACCCAGACAGCACTGGCCCTAGCCCAGAAGGACTCGATATGTTCTCAGGCAGCCAGCCTGTAGGCCGGACAGATCCAGGGCGGCCTCTCTCCTGAGAGCCGCTTATCTCTGGGGCTCAGGACCCCAGGCCCCTCGCTGTGATATCCTGGCCACAGCAAGGCAGTGCCTCAACCCCAGGCGGTGGGTCCCCAGGAAGCTCCGGCAGTGTCCTGCTGTGCCTCTTCTCTCTGGCACCCCCATATCACCCAGGCAGCATCACCCTGCGGCATGGGGTTGCCTGTCCTTGGGCCTCTCCTTCTGAGGAGTGTGAGAAGAGAGTGGGTTCTGAAGCTCCCAGGCAGGCCCCACTGGCCCGGGCAGGTGAGTCCCCACGACCCACAGGAATCCCAGGCAGCCCACACTCGCGACCTTCTTGTGAGAGGGAAAGGAATTGGACTGTGGGTAGCCCCCGGGTGTGTGCCCTGTTCAGAGGAGGTGTCCCTGTGGGAGGCTTTCTGTGGCTGTTGTGGGGAGAGCGGCAGCCTGGAACCCCTGGCACGTGTTCCTTCCATGGAGCTGTTTGGGCCCCGGGCTCCTTCCTCTAGGCCCATGGCTTTGCCTCAGTGTCCCTGGAGACCTGGGTCAGGGGGTGTGGCCTCGGGTGCTGACTGGGGGTGCCCTTGCTGGGCTCAGCGCGCTGGGCTTCAGCATGAGGTTGTCTGAACAGAAGTCTCCACGCCCCTTCTCCCCCAAACCCCCCGAAATTCCGAAGGTTTGAACCTCCCTACCCCGTCTCTTACTGGAGGTCACTGCATTAGGGTTGCCCCTGCTGATGACCGGAAGGCCCCTGAGAGGCACAGCAGGGTGCTGTGTGTCCCCTGCGCCCGGTGGCTTTGCCCCTGGGAACTCGGCTTCCTCCGTTTTACTAAACTGGCTCTGCAGTGCCTTTGCAGTCGAGGCCCGGAGTAGTTGACCCCTCGCCCCGTGCCTGCACGCAGGAACACAGCCAGATAAAAAGAAACATATGAATTTATAGGGGACCAAAATGAAAGTGCCACAGGACAGTTCTTCCTGTGCTAGCAGCACGTGCGGTGTTTCCTCCTCCCGCCTCCATTCTGTTTCATTTACGTGCTGGCCGCCGTCCACGCAGTCCATCCGACTGCCTGCTGGGCTGAGGCCCGCAGTGGAGACGCGAGTCGTGGCCTGTGGTTGGGTGCGAAGTCCACGGCACGGCGTTTCCCACATACGGCGTGGTGAAGAACTGCATGTGAGATTGGAAAGAGCCACAAAGCCAGTGTTCTTTCTGGTTAGATAGATTGAATGGGGGCATTTTTGAAACCGTAGAAATTTTGTGATTTTTTTCTGTATTTGGATATTTCTGGGTGTGT